GATAGATAGATAGATAGATAGATAGATAGATAGATAGATAGATAGATCAACCTTAATTGGTCCCTTATCTAAGATATGTGGGTTGAGTCAGAGAATGCTGTTTGACAAAAACCCTCTTTTTTTTAGGGCACAAAAAGATATTAATTTTACATGAGGCAACAAAAATTCTTAAGAGCCATTAGGCTCCCATTCCATAGTCCTGGTATCACTTTCTCAAGACAGCTGCTGATCCTCAAAAACTGACATCAAAACCTTTTTGTATCACACAAAACAACTTCCAAGTCAGCATTTAAATTCTGTCAAAGTCTACACAACCCATACAGACAAGTTTGTTGTAAAGAATCTCTGTCCTTTGGATGGGAAATAACAACTCTTGTCTCCTTCAGCTTTGCACCATTTAATTTGCATTGTTATGGAAAACCACTGGATTTGGATAGAGCACAGAATCATTGAGGTCACCATAATAGAGTGTGACAGCTCCCCTTTTCAAATCTATTTGGAAGTAAAATCAAAATTCCTGGGAAAGTATATCCAGCGGGCATAGAAATACAGCTTTACGAACAGATGTTTTGAGAGAACATTTATTAAGATCTGTTACAAACAGTTTCATGAATCTTACAAAATTTGGGAGGAGTTAGAAAGCACTAAGGACTTTGTCTTTATTGATGTAACTTGTATGCTATTAAATATATTGTTTTCATTATTTTTAGAGCATCAGTGACCTTGGACTCTTTCAAAAACACCATTTCATACTGTAAAAAAGTTGATAAACCTTAGTCAAAGCCACATTTGTAAGTTCGGTCAATTGAAATTCAAAGCCTGCTTTTTTTTTGTGGCCAAGAGAGTCCCTTTACACTTTCTCAAATTAAAAATCTCACGGCTGATCCTCTCCATCGCCCTCCTTTCAGATATTGACCTTGTGGTGTAACAAAATAGCCTCTTCCTCACTGCGGGACCCCATAATGAGCCAATACAATGAGGCTTCAGTTCAAGTTCACTGCTCACCTCTCTTTGGTGTCTCTCAGGGTCTTTGTTGACATTTGTCAGCCCGGGAGGAATTTGGGGGGTTAGAATTCTGCTGTAGCTCAACAGTAAACTCAGACAACTCTGACTCGCAGACTTGAGCACAAAAGAGGGAAAGTTTACTTGTGTGATAAACAGGCTTTAACCTTAGAGGGAAGAATAACTAAAGGAGTGAAGTGAATAAAGATCAGACTACATTCTGAATTTTAAAGATATCAAAAATGGAAGAGGCCAGGCAATTATATACTTGCTGTTTTCCGTTGAGTCCTGAAATTGAAAGTGAACAAAATAATGCTCATGAAATTGGAGTAAATTTGAAGCTTCACTCAACGTGATGATCTTTTGAGCTGTGACAAAAAACATTCTAAAAACTGCTGTGTTTTATCATCATTTTCATCAATAAACAATTTTAGCTTTTCATATTCCACTTAAAGTAATGTTTTCATGATTGAATAAAGTCGTGCATGAACAGGGTCCCCTTTGTTGTGTGATAACATGTGTGTGATTTCATGTTTTAACACTTTATGGTCTGAGGTTTAGGGTCAAGGTTAATTCAAATACATATAAGAATCTTAGAAATATGCATTCTTAATTCTATGTGTCTAATAGCATGTATATTTTCTTCAACGGCTGATTGGTAAAAAATATTTAGAGGACCATTTCTACATCTAGTTTAAAAATGTGTAGTACAAGTAAAACAATTTTGATTTCAAAAATCTTAATTTAATCAAATACATTGTATACGATTTTTTATGTACAATGCCTTGTGTCTGCATGACCAATCTTCAACACTTCATTGCTGTTCTGTGACAACAATATTCTGAGATTTATTGAATATGTGTATATTTATTTTTTGCCATGACTTTATATGATATGTATTTTATTGAAAGAAGAGTCCTTCCCCACCTGCGAAATCGAGGTTTTGGTGTTCTCTGTCTCCTACCGCAGGTCCCAAACTTTATGTACCCTTTTGTACTTCTTACCACAACTTTGTGGCAAATACTCTCCATGAAACTTAAGGCAAAACCATCATTAGAAAACAGTAAACACATTTCTAATGAATAGATGGTAATAACTGTTACCACTATTTCAATTAAAGAGTGAAATACAACTTTTCTGAAAGGATGAAAGGATTAGATACAATGGAAAGTACCATGAATTAATTTTTAATTTGATTGCAGCCCTTCACTTTGCACAATTTTAACCATTTCCTATTAATTGAATATGCAATGATTATTTTGTTACTGTGTTTATCTTTACAATCTTTAATATGAAAATATATAGTATGCAATTAATTTAAATTGGGAAAAAGAAAATCTGATAAAATCATTTAAAGGTTTGTTACAGATGAGAAGGTTCTTCATCCTCCTCTCAGACTTTTTGTCCATAGTCCTCCCTCTTCTGTTTGGTTGCTCTGTTTGGTATATGTATTCTTATGCATAGTTTAATTATGGTTTCCAAAATATGATTATTATTTCTGTTTGAGTGGGGACTGCACAGAGTTCATATGAACAGACTACAGGCCATGGTCAGTTGAGTCTCTGTTCTATCATGTGCCTTCAAAGAGCAGCCATTGGTGTGTCTATATGAACCATGCAAAGTTAGCCAAAGAAAATTAGTTTCTTGTTTGTTCTTCTTTCCATTGTGTGAAGTCACAAACAGGTTTCCATAATGTTGTAGGGTCTCATCCAGGATCACCACGATAATAAACCTGAAAGCTTCATTTTCACTTATTTCATTCAGTGGTTTAGGAATAAACCTGAGAAAGGTCATCGTATGAAATATTTTGAAAAACATTATTTAAAGAAAATGATAATCCAGATATTCTCCCTTCATCTGAGATGCCCTTATGTATTTGCTCATGCACACAAAGAAAACTTATATATATAAGTATACAGATACAGTTCTTTAGGAAGACCAACCTTGACTTGATTTTTTTCACCACTGGGAATGGCATTAGACTGGGGTTTATAAGAGTTATGACTACCTTTTATTTTTGTGATTTGTGTACATTTCTGCATTGAGAGTTGTATTTGCATTTCTCTAAAGATCCCATTGTAAAAGAAAACCATACCACACACAAGGACTATAATAACTAAGACGTAAATGTTCTATCATAAATTTATGTAAGAAACATGTTTTGGCATGTTCGGAGGAAGCTAGTGTACCTGAAGAGATCCCAAACATGCAGAGAGAGACCACGGAAACTCCACATAGAAAAGAACATGAGATTTGAATCACTATTTTCAATACCCTGGGACAATGGTGCATGCCACTGTCTAAAGAATATTTTTTCCTGCAGTTATCGAGCTTGTAAATAGCATGTTAGTATAATCTGTATTGGTACATGTTGTACGTCTTTATGGATCATAAAGATAATTTTACCTTTGAAGGTTAAGGAACTGTTTAAGGCAGAGAAAATATGAGCTGTCCTTACATGATAAAGGGATTGAGAAAGTCTTTCTGTGAGTTGATGATGGACATATACACAGCAAAAATGAAAGGTCATGTTGCAGTTACTTTATGTTATGCTGATCCAAATGCGTTTCAAAGCAAATTAATCTATATTTTAAAATATTCATTCATATATTCACGAATCATATTGATCGTATTTATGTGTTTTCATCGCCTAAAACTTTCCATGTAGACGCAACTACTAAGTTATTTAAAGATAGGCCTGATTTTGTTTCTTGATAATGAAAAAAGCATATAATAAAAATAGCTTGTCAAATTGCACAAAATACACTTGATCCTACTGTATAACAGTTTTTGAACCACTTCGGTAACATTATAGTCCATCTGGGAGCAGAACAAACATACAGAATAATTCATAACTGTCTGCTGGTGTGTTTACCCCACACCAGACAGCTCGGCTGCTGCTGTTTCTCCACCCACAATGCATCATCGCAGCAAACCCGTGTCTGCCATGTTTGTACCCAGGTCGTGAACAGAGACTACTGCCGCAGTGAGTCGGAGCTACCCACTCTCAAGTCTCCTGTTTTGGTCCGTCATAATGTTGAGCTACTGAAGAATAAATGCAACGTCCAATTTTTTCGTAAAACTTTAAGCGGGACGGGCTTTGCACCATGTCAGCCGATGCACAGGGTGAGTAGCATTTTATTTCGACAAAGCTAAGTCGCAGTAGCTTTAAGCTAACTTGAGCTAACGTGGCTAAAACTAATAGCGGTTCAAAAAATGGGTGCTGTAACAGTAGGCCGCATTCTGGAAACGAGCCAGCGTTTTCTGTTTGAAGGTAATATTGATAACCCACTACTATGCATTTTTAACAAGAAGTTCAAAACCCTGATATTTTTGAGAAAAAATACTAATGAGAGTAAAAAAGCGTTTTAAGCCGCTAACCTCAAGGTTAGCAACGAGGGGATTTAGCATGTCAGCTAGCTACCAATCTGGTGCGCAATTAGTCGAATAAGTATTTCGTTATCACGAGATTATTGTTTATGACGTTATGAAGAGGTCACATTTACCTTAGAAAATATTTGATCAATTTGACTACTATACTGTGGATTAACAGCGAATTGTTACGTGGTCGTGCCTGGTGTTTGTTTTCGTTTAGTGTGACCCCTGTCAGTGTTCATTATGATCACAGCTAGCTCACTTTGATAACCTAATTTCACCATCAATATGTGATGTTATGTGGAGTTTTTCAGACACTTTTAATTACCATCTGTGGATATAAAGTAGATATGATTTTCTGAACCCAGCCATAATCCTTGCTGAATTTTATATGTGTGTAGGTGCAGATGGACACTATGACGCAACTAACACGTTTTGATTGCTTCTTAACTGTTTCTGCTTTTTTTGTTATTTTTTGTGAGTATCGGGTTATAGAGGTAATTAGCAGATAGTTCACACGCTATTGTCAATATAGGTAATTTAATCAGTGAAATTAATGTCCCAAGCTTATTATCTTAGTGACTTCACTGTGATGAAAATATACTGATGAGAATAAAGAATTATTTTACTAAGTAAGACGGTCTAACAAAAGTGTTTCCAAAGGGCAATGTCGACATAAACAAATGTGTTTAATGTAAATTGCAATGAATCAATTGTAATGTAAATAGGCTCCTATCATACTTAAATGCATGCATGAATTTTGTTGTTTCAGCCTGTGGAAAGAACAGATGGCATTAGTTGTTGAATGTTCTTACAGTCTGTGCACTCGGAACAGTCTCATGAAACAAAAATTGATTACATTTGTCTATAGTAACAGTTTATAGGTGTAATTACGTCCCTTTTCACATAAATTTGCCAGAAGAGGGGAAATGCATCTGATTGTTTTAAGAAAGACTTTGGAAAGCATCTTGGATAACAGCAATATAAAAAAACACTGTGATATATTATTGTCATCTAAATGTTTTGTGTCTGTGAAGAATTCACTCAACAACCAAATACTATCCACTTCATGCTGTCTGAAACATTGGAGTAGCAAACATAGCTGTTGTAAACACTAAACATCTCATCATCCTTCCATAGTCTCCTGTCCATTAGACAGCAATAGCTCGGTTGTGGACTAAGCAGGACTTTGGTTAAAATATAATTTTTTCATCCATTTAATATTCACATGATTGCATCATAGCCAGCAAAATGTCAGGAGAGGACAACCACATTTCACTTTTCATCCTTTTTCTACATTAACTCTTTACGGACTACCAAAATGCTATGTTTACATGCCTGTAGTGTGTGTGTTCTGAACTGTGTGCTTTCTGATATATGGTATACAGTATATTACAGTAACAGGGAAGAGTACAGTTAAAACTGCAACCTTGATGGAAGATGACTGAGAAAATCAGAGGGAAAAGATAATGAGTGAAAGAGTGGTGCTTTGTTTTATTTTATTTTAATGCTTAGATGGTTTAAGTGCTGTGTGTCTGTGTTTAAGTACACACATTTCTAATGTCTGGTAGTCAATCAACACATTTAAGCAGCTGCTGTCATTCAGAGAGGAGGAGGCCAATTTGGCAGGGGCTTTTTCTGAACAGAGCCATGCAAAAAGCATATGTTGTTTTCTAGCATACATGGATTGCAACAGATGAGATATTTGCAAATCACTACCATCATTAGGTGAAAGTTTAACTGTATCAATGAGATGGAAAATATTGGAGCAAATGTAAGACTTTTTTTCACTGCTGGAAGCTGCAAAATATACCAGAAAATGTTGAGGAAAACAGTAAAAGTTTGGAGGATACCTATATTCACAGAGCACACAAAATCTGAGCCTAGACTCTTACATGACTCTTTCATGTCGCGACCCCTTGTATTGGATATAGACTCATCCCGAAGTAGCACAATTTACTTTTAGGCTGGCAATTCGAACTATGCACAAGTCCTCAGCTATGTATTGACAGATATGAAGTGACACAACACTGCTTTCATATATGTAGGCTCATCTTGCCTTCTGTGTCCTGTTTTCTCTGTGATGTAATGCAAGTGCTTGTCTCTCATTTCTTACTCAGCATGTGGCCCGGCTGCACTCCTCCTCTTTACCTAGAACACCAGAATACCTGCACAACTTCTTTTCTCTTCCCGTTGCCTCTAACTGCTTTAATGCCATCTTTTCTTTTCCAGCCACCTGAATGTGTTTGGTTAAATCAAAGCTACTTGGGTTTAAAAAACTTTCCAAAATAGCTTCCAAAATCTTTTTGTTCGTTCCTTGTTGATGGGAGCTGACAGCAGTAGAGTGAGCTGAAATGCATATTTTGTTACAGGCATATGATAAATGAAAAGCAGCCAGCTGCAGTTGCTGCTGACTGGAGTACAAGCAGTCTAGTGATTAAAGAAATAAAAAACCTTAACATACACAGTCCAACTCTCTGGAGTTTTTTTGGGGTAGATTTTACTTTTATGTTGCCCCTTTGTTTAATGACCTCCTTGTCAGGTAACCTTTCTGGGCTTTTTGTTGTATTGCAATGGTCCATTTTGTGATGATGAATACAATCACTATCAGTGTTCTGTATGGTATGTTTTACCACCTAGTCCTGGTCTCACTACTCTTTCCCCCTGACCTTGTTCGGTGATGCCTCTTAATTAGGGTTTTTGAAGGCTCAGGAGCTCTTCAGAACTGTTGTTTTGACACTTAGATTAGCCGCAGGTGAACTTTTTATTACAAGACATCATAAAGTAATTGAGAACATTATAGCAAATGATTGTGAATATATATGTTAATGTGCAACAAATATAGATTATGACTCTAATTTTTCAAAGTTTCTTTGTTAAAATAAATATTTCTTCAACTTTTTTAAATTAACACAGAATAGCCCTGATCACTTTGACCTATTTCCCCAGATTTTTTTTTTTTATGCCGACTCCTCATTTGCAGCCATTTCTATCCAGTTTAAGCACCGATAGTAAAAAGGAATTCCTGCCTTTTAACACTAACAAATTTTACAGTAAATTTGTATTCTCTTTTCACTTATTAGTCATTACGGAATTTGATATTTTCTTGTTTTTTTTAGATTTTGCTTCTCCATCCTCGGAACTGTGGCCTTTCTGTTGTCTGATGTGAAAAAAAATATTTCCCTTGATAAACAGTTTCACCTGAATAGAAAAAAACCTGGAATCAGCAGAATATAAAAAAAATCACAAACACGTGTGTCATAATTTTTTTAATAGTAAAGCTGTAAATATTAGCTGGCCAGATACTTCAGTTTTAGTGAAATATTTTAATGAACTTTTATTAACCATTCAGTGCAACTGAAATGCATCCCTCTTCCCTTTTATGGTAACTGTAACAGGAGATGAACTTCTTAAGGGTCAAGTCATTTCACAATTTATTTTCATTTGGTAAATACAGGATTTGTGACAAATATTGCTACACTATAAATTTGTTTTGGGATTAAATCCATACCTTTTTAAGGACTCACACATTTGCATCTTTAATGTATGACACAACTGCTCATGTCTACATATTATTGCGTATTATATGTCCAGATGTCTGCTTTGACATGTTTTTAATTACTGACTACTTAGCTTTGTTTTCCTCCATTTAAATCACCCAAAAACTTCTGTGATGTTTGCAAAGCAAAACAATGAGGCTTTGTACTATCCATTTAAATAGCGGCTTCTTTTTTTTTGCCGGTAAATGTCAAGAATTGATAACGTGGAGCTTTATTGTTCTATAGAGGCAGGAAATCAGCACGTTTTGATTGTATACTACAGCCTGCATCAATAGTAGATCGTTTGCCTTTGCATTCAGATGCTTTCACTAACATTTGCATTGTCAGCTTTTCTGCTGGTCCCTGTTCTTTCTGCTCCACACAAGGGTCACTTAGATCCTTTGCAGTATCTACTTGGTGTATGTCATCAATATGGAAATCCAGAAGCAGTAGTTCTTATTTCGTGGTACCTACATGACATTCTGAAGTCATATTTGTCACGAAGTGGCTTTTCCATGCGTGAACTTATTTTTGTTGCGTATTTTTTGGTTGATTGAATGAGATAGATGGACTCCCAAAGCTGTACAGTAGAGGAGATCAGTATTATTTTGGATATGAAAAAAAGAACATAAATCTCTAAATGGATTGCCAAATATATACAGGGTACCATTTGTACCCTGTCCAGGCATTCCATGTATTTATGTTATCTGGGAATTACTGAGTGTATCCTCACAGGTTACATATATTTAAAGACCTGTCTCAATCAGCTGATCTGAGTTAATCTATCTGACATTTAAAATGATCCCTCTCTTGCAGATTTTGACTTTGATGAATATGACAAACCTGGTGCTGAGCGTTCACGCAGAAGGAGAGGGGAAGATGATACTCTGGAGAGGTAAATGCATCATATTTTTATATTTATGAAGACGTGGTGCTGCTCTGTAATAAACAAAAAAATAGTTACACTTAGTTTTATTTCTCAAAATTTAAAATCACATAACATGATCCTTTTTATTATAAAGCTTGTCTTCAGTTTTGTATAATTTCATATATAATGCCTAATTTCATGTCAGCTTTTTGTCTAATCTATATATTTAAACCTTTTATGAATCAAGAATCTGGTAAATACGGCAGTAATTATTTTATTTCTGTTTTAATTCATTTATCAAAACAGATTAGACTGAAAAAAGTTAGTCACAAGCGTTTGACCTTTATATAAAGATAAGGACAGACAAAAAGAAGGCACTATTCCACTGTTATACAATTTTACTGAGCTCTTCCTGATTGTCTTTTCTTAAAGTGACTTTGAAGAGGAGTTGTTGGAAGAGGATTGGCTGACAAGTAAAAAGGTAAGAGTAAGACATAAAGATTTGGATTTTCCCATTATCTTAAGCATTTGGCACAAAACAAACCCAAATCTGTTCCGTTTCGGTCACAAGAGGGAAAGTAATACTTGTCCATAGAAATATTCAAACATTTAGAGGAAAGTCGTAAGGAGTGGACTTGTAGCAGGTGGCTCCTCCACGGGGGGAGTTGGTCATGTGAACCAGGAGGAAGTGCAGTGGACAAAAAAGCACTATGCTGACCTGCCCAGATTGCCTTCACCACATGGGAATAAGGCATCCTCTGGGTTGAAGGTGGCCCCTTCCCCCACACCTTTAACACACACACAAACAGATACACAGTTGTGAAAGAGTAGATCAAGTTAGATGCCATAAATTGCCTCTTTTTTTAAATTTCAGAATCCTTCAGAAGTGTCAGATGAGGAGTTAAATGATGATCTTCTCCAAAGTGACGATGAAGACATAAATATAAGGTAACTAAGCAGGATGGTTTGTATATTTCTCTCCGCAGTTCCAAATTATCCTCATTTGTTGCTCCATGCTCTGGTGTTTCCTGAAATGTTGAATTTTTCTTGTTTGTTGCTAGCGGTCAGGATGTGGACCTCAGTGCCACTTACAGCATGGGTACATCCTATGACCAGCAGGACGGGTTGCAGGAAGCACACTACGCTGATGATGTTGTGAACCTGGGTGCAGAGGGCTGTGAAGAAGGGGATGTAGAGGAGGAGGGGTACCAACAAGTGCGGGAAGAGGGGTTTACAGAAGAATACAGTCAGGACGCCATAGAGATGACTGATGACCAAATCGATTACACCGGAGAGCTGGCTGAGGGTGACGATGGTTACCAAGATGAAGTGCTAGACATCCAAATCAATGAGCCCATAGATGGGGAATTTCAAGTGAGTTTTCATATTCGCTTACTCTCATGTTGAACCCTATATACACACACACACACACACACACACACACACACACACACACACACACA